GGGTCTCGGGGGTCAAGGGGTTCGGGCTTAGGTGGGCACGGGAGGGAGCTGAGTCCTGGGAGTGTGTGTGTGTGTGTGTGTGGCTGTGTATATATACGTATATATATGTACATATATATTTATACACACGCATATATATATATGTGTGTGTGTGTGTATGTATGTGTCTATTTTGAGCTGCAGTGCTAGGATAAGGAGGTTTTTGTTTGCTTTTTTTATTAAAAAAAAAAAAAAAAAGCATCAATCCTTATCTTCCCTTCCCAAAAATCACTCCAAAGGGAGTGTGATGCCATTGAGAACTGCTCAGGTGCTGCTCAGGCCCAGCACCATGGAGATGAGCAAAGTAGGGAAGAGTGGGGGTTTGTGTGGTAGGAAATCAGGACTCACTGCAGCACAAGGTGCCTTGGTGAAGCTTTGGAAGGTGTCATTGTGCTGCAGCAGGGTTGGTTTGGGGTTTTCTTTCAACAGGGAAAACCATAAATCAGCTGAGATCTCAAATTCAGGTTGCCCAGGGATGATGATGCCCCAACCCTGGCAGTGTTCAAAGCCAGGGTGGACAAAGCCTTGAGCAGCCTATTCTGGTGGGAGGTGTCCCTGCCCAGGGCAGGGTGTTGGCACTGGATGATCTCTAAGGCCATTTCCAACCCTTAAAACTCCATGGTTCTATACATATGTGTGTGTGTGTGTGCATCCATGATGGTTGTGCCTGCCCTTCCCTGGGATGTGCGGGGAGAGCTCCCTGCTGAGGGGATGCTGTGGCTGGTGTGGGATGTGGTTTGGCTTGACTTGTGTGGGGTTTCGGGAATATGCCCAGGAGTGGTTTGATTGGGAATTGGAGCATCCTGGCAGGGTGGATAAGGGAATAACTTTGGGTTTGAGGGTAGAAGGCTGAGGGAAAATCAGGGAGATAAAGGCTCTCCCAAGTCATTATAGTGGAGGAATGTCCTTGAAAACAAGGGAGTGACTTTGGGTTCAAGTGCAGGAGGGTCTGGGTAAAACAGGGAGACAAAAACTCATCCAAGGCCATTTAGTGGGGGGATATGCCTGAAAACAAGGGAATGGTCTTGGTTTTCTGTGCAGGAGGCTGAGGGAAAAAACGGGGAGAGAAAGGCTCATCCAAGTCACTCTAGTGGGGGAATATCTGCAAACCAGGGGGGGATATGCTGCTCTTTGAAGAAGGCACAGGAAGCCTCTGGTCTGGGTTTTTTTATTTATTTTATAAACCAGTGGGGAATGTTATTATTTCATGTTAATTTCCTGGCACTGCCTAAGCTACTGCTGTTCCCCCTGGCAGGATGTTGGCCTCCAGAGTGTTCAGCCTGGTTGGGAGGAGATCCATCTGCACCTCCCTCTGCCTCAGGGCACATGGACACGGTGGGTCAGGGCTCTTGGGGGAGAATGGGGATAATCCAATGAGTCTTTCAGAGCAGGGCACAACAACCTGCTCTGGGTGAGGGAAGGATTGAGGTGGAGGAACTTCCTCAGAGTCACTTGAGGGTGGAAAAGAGCTCCAAGGTCATCAAGTCCAGGCTGTGACCCATCACCACCTTGTCAGCTAGAGCAAAGCACTAAGTGCTGTGTCCAGTCGTTCCTTGAGCACCTCCAGGGATGGTGACTCCAACAGCTCCCTGGACAGCACATTCCAATGCCTGACAGCCCTTGCCATGAAGAAATTGTCCCTAATATCCAACCTAAATCTCTCCTGGCACAGCTTGAGGTGTTTCCTCTTGTCCCTTGTTCCCTGGGAGCAGAACGTGACCTCACCTGGCTGCACCTCTAGTCAGGGAGTTGTAGAGAGCAGTAAAGTTCACCCTGAGCCTCCTTTTCTCCAGGCTGAGCCCCCCAGTTCCTCAGCCCCTCCTGGTGCTCCAGACCCTTCCCCAGCTCCATTCCCTTCCCTGGACAAGCTCCAGCACCTCAGTGGCTCTCCTGAACTGAGGGTCCAGAACTGGACACAGCACTGGAGGTCTGAAGCCAAGGATTATCAGAAAACTAAGATGGAAAAGCCTAGAGAACTTCCAGGTGTTTGGTAGGGAGGTCATCAGTGTGACAGCTGGAAACAGACGTGGCTGAGACATCCAGTAAAGTAATTTTGGGTGTTACCTTTAATATAGATCCTCTTTTTCCTGTATTATTTGGAGAGGGACTTTGGGCAAGGGCGTGGAGGGACAAGGGGCTTCCCACTGCCAGAGGGATAGATAGGATATTGGGAAGGAATTCCTCCCTGTGAGGGTGCTGAGGCACTTGCACAGGTTTCCCAGAGAAGCTGTGGCTGCTCCATCCCCAGGAGTGTTCCAGGCCAGGTTGGATGTGGCTTGGAGCAACCTGGGTTAGTGGGAGATATCCCTGCCCTTGGCAGGGGGTGGGATGGGATGATCTTTAATGTCCTTCCAACCCCAGCCGTTCTGGGATTCTAATGCTCTTAACAACACACCTGTTTTAAATCCTTCACCTGGAAAACTTTTCCCTCTTGAAATCCTTATCATTTCTCACCTTTCTGACTGAGCTGTTTGGTTTTTGGTGTTATAACCAGTGAGAGATGTTCACACAGGAGCCTGACTGGTGTCTCTTCTCTTCCCACCCACAGCTGGCGTTGTTAAGGCAGAGGATTACACCCTCCCAGTCTATGTGGACCGTCGGGACATGCCCCTGCCCGAGGTGGCCTTCGTCAGGGATCTCTCTGCACAGCAGAAGGCACTGAAAGAGAAGGAAAAGGCCTCCTGGACTGCTCTGTCCGTGGATGAGAAAGTTGAACGTAGGTTTTGTGGGTTCTAAGTGACCTGAGAGAGGCAATTACACCATGTCATCTGTTGCTTGTTCATTGTCATGGAATCATGGGGTGGTTTGGGTTGGAAGGGGACTTTAAAGGTCATCCAGTTCCACCCCCTGCCCATTTGTAGGGACATCTTCCACTAGCCCAGGTTGCTCCAACCCCATCCAACCTGCCTTGAACAGTTGAGGACAGAGGTATTGAATAGGTTCCTTATGGACAAGTCCTGCCTGGATGGTTCCATGGACTGGGAGCAGTCCTGTGAGGTTTGAGTCACGGGATGAGCAAGGGGCATGGTTGTGTTGTGCAGGATTCCTGATCCTATAGATCATCAGAGCACAGAACCATGGAATGGTTTGGGTGGGAAGGGACGTAAAGCTCATCTCATTCCATTCCCTGGCCATGGGCTGGGACACCTCCCACTAGCCCAGGTTGATCCAAGCTCCATCCAGCCTGGCCTGGAACACTTCTAGGGATGGAGCAGTCACAGCTGCTCTGGGCAGCCTGTGCCAGTGCCTCAACACCCTCACAGGAAGGACTTTCTTCCCAATATCCCACCTATCCCTGCCCTCTGGCAGTGGGAAGCCATTCCTCCTTGTCCTGTCACTTCCATCTTTCCTGTAGCTCCTTTAGGCACTAGAAGGCCACAGTTAGGTCACCCTGAAGCTTCACTTCTCCAGGATGAACTATCCCAATTCTCTCAGCCTTTCCTCACAGGAGCAGTTCTCCATCCCTTTAGCCATGTTGTTGGCCATGGTTTCTCTTCCCAAGCTCCGTGGTGCTGTTCCAGAACCCTAAATGCACCTGCTGTGTTGTCTGTCCTGTCCTTGAGCTCACACTCAACAATTCCTTCCTCTTTCAGAAAACAAACAATAACTCTGTTAGTTCCTTGATTCCCATCTGCTTCCAACAAGCCAGAAAATCTTTTTGTTCCCACACAGCACTGTTAGTCCTGCTGAGTGAAATGATCCCTGTGTTGGGATGTTAATGCCACTGACCAAATTCCATTAGCATTAAACCAAATCGCAGCTAATTAAAGCTCTGAGTGGATGGTTTGACTTGCAAATGAAACTGTCTCATCTTTTCTAACCACTGTTGTGGTGTGAAGTGACAACCTGAGCTGTGAACCTGTTTCAAACCCTTTGGGGAACTGCTCGGATGTCCCTAAGCACTTCCCAAACCTTATGTTGCTTTGGATTTGAAATTGTTGTGGAGCTTAGTGGCAGAGCTGAGAAAACTTTTGGGACAGGAGTGTTCCTGGTGGAATTACTTGTGCTAGGGAGATTTGGGGTCAATAACCCTTGGAAGGGAGGAAGGAGAGCTCCATTTCTCCCTTTTCCAGGGCTATAAAGTGACTTCTGCACAACTTTACAGTTATAAAATCAGACTCACATTGATGTGGGAGTGAAACACATTCGGAGGGCGAAACACAACATGTTGGTCTTTACATGGGAGAGAACAGCTAATTTAGAACCTAATTTAACTCCCATCCCCTTCTGGGCAGCCTCAGGCCTTGTTCCCCACCCCCCTGTGCCCTGGGAGTGCCAGGAGAAGTTAGAATGAGTGATTTGGTGCTTTCTTGGCAGTGTATCGAATTAAATTCAACGAGACCTACGCAGAGATGAACAAAGGCACCAACGAGTGGAAGACTGTCCTCGGGGGAGTCTTGTTCTTCCTTGGGCTCAGTGGTGTCATCCTCATCTGGCAGAAGCACTTCAGTAAGTGACTCTTCAATGCAGAGCAGGATCAGTTGCTACCTGATGGGAAACCAGGGAATTCCCAAAAGTTGCTCCGTGAGGTCAGAGTTGTGTGTCCAACGCTCATTCCAGTGACCTCTTGGCAGGAGCTCTTTGTTAGACCCTGAAAACTCCATCCTGGAGTTGTAACCTCACGGAGTCGGCAGCTGCTTGGCATAAATACTTGGGAAGCTGACTTGTGGGAAGGTGCTGGAGCTTTGGCATGAGAGGAAATGGAGGGGAATGAGTGGTGATACTCCTGATCCCTGAGCTTCCTCTCTCTGCTGTCAGAAAAGCTTATTCCTGCCTCTGGAGTGAACATTTGGCTTTCTGCCAGCTTTGGCTGCTTTCCCAGCTAAGGATCCTACCTCAAGGGAGCCTCCAGCTGCTGTGAGGCAGAGCAGCAGTTCAGTGAGCTGCTCCCTGCCTGGAGGCTCCCAAAAAAAGGAAAGCAGGAAGCTGTTGTCTTGGTGTAAACCTTTACTGATGAAGGAAACAGCTAGAGAATCCATGTGGTAATGTGGTCTGAGCTGGATGCATTAGAAACTGGATGTAGGGAGTGTAGGTTTGAACAGATGAGAGAATCATGGAATGGTTTGGGTTGGAATGAGCTTAAAGCTCATCTTGTTCCAAGCCCCTGCCATGGGCGGGGACACTTTCCACTAGCCCAGGTTGTGGGCTTGAGCACTTCCAGGGATGAGACAGCCACAACTTCTCTGGACAGCCTGCTCCAGTGGGATGAGTTTAAGGGGGGAGGCAAAGCCTTTTGCTAGTGAAACCTGTACCTCAGTTCCCAATTTGCTTCTTTGCTATCCCAATATAATTCCCCCCATTCCCATTCCACAGTGTATGGCCCCATCCCGCACACCTTCAGCGAGGAGTGGGTGTCAGCGCAGACCAAGAGGATGTTGGACATGAGGGTTAACCCTGTGGAAGGCATTTCAGCCCAGTGGGATTATGAGAAGAATGAATGGAAGAAATGAAGCAACTCAGTGGCTCCTACTCTGCTTTGAAGCCCAAATGATTCCATCACCCATGTGTGACCTCGTTGCTTGTGTACTGGAACTCCCTCTCCACCTCCAGAAATGCTAATAAACCTCTGGTTAACTTGAGAGTTGCCTTTTCTTGGGCTCTGAACATATGTGTTGGGGTGGGAGAAGCTCAGGGTGTTTGGTAAACACCATGGGCTTGAGCAAGGGCTGGTTCATAGCTCAGTGTTTTCAAGGCTGTGCAAGGGCTGGTTCATAGCTTCATGTTTTCAGGGCTAAAAAACTGCTGCCAACTTTCTCCCTTCACTCACCTGTGCCAAGTCATCCGGACTCAGGTTTTGGGGTTTAAAACACCCCTGGGAAGACTAAGCCAAGTTTTGCCTTCATTTTGCTCTTTCGCTGCTGACAGGAAACCTTCCTCAGGAAACCTGATGCCATGGATGTAAGTCCATGCACATAATTAGGAGCTGTGATAGAGTCTCAGCCCCTTCTTGGCCAGTTTTCCCTTTCATTCACCAAGCTGAGGAAGGATTTTAAGGTGAGACTTAAGCAATGAGCTTTTCCTTCATCTGAAAATTGCCTGAGGTGATAAATTTGTTTCCAGGGTGCTGAGAAGGATGGTCTGAGGGTGATGGAGTTCCTGGCTGGTGATGGCTGGAGGGTGTTTGGTGCTCCTGTGGTGGTTTGCTTTCCCCTGCTCTTTGAACTCCTGCCTCTATAGCATGCTGGTGGCATGGATTTGGGAGGGGGATGTGGAGCTCTCAGGTGCTCCTGCCTGGTAAATTGATGCTTTGAAGCATATGCTGTGCTGCTTTACAGCTCCTCATCCCCATTCCCAGAGGGAAGGAGAGATGAGCTTATCAATACTCCATTAGCTGCACATCACTCTGGGTTTCCAAGTGCCTCATCCTGAATTCTCATTCCTGGGACTGGGGGGAATTGGCATGAACAGGAGTGGAATCCTGCAGAGTGCAGGGCTAAGCCTGCGGCATCCCAGAATCAGAGAATCCCAGAATCATTAGGGTTGGAAAAGACCTCCAAGCTATGATTTAACACCACCTTGTCAGCTAGATCAGAGCACTAAGTACCACATCCAGTCTTTCCTTAAACACCTCCAAGGATGGCGACTCCACCACCTCCCTGGGCAGCATCCCTGGGATGAGGGAGTTGCTCCCAGGACTATCTTTCCCAACAGGCTGTGAAAGCCCCAGGGAGTCTGGGAGAGAAACCTGAGCCCCAGCACGGCCCTGGATCCTTATTTCATCCTCCTCTGCCTGGCACCAGCCACTCTTCTCTGTCCCTTCACCCAGCAGGACCTGCCTGAGCAACCTGCAGGTGAGCTGAGTTTGCCAGGGATCTGCATGCTCCCCTCCTGGCATGTTTCCCTCCCTCCGGCTCTTGGCAGAGGGATACACTGTTGAAATGAGGTGGATCTCACTACCCTGCCTGGGATTTGCAGGTATTTACTTTCAGGTAACCTTGAAGACTGCGAAACCACCTGAATCCTGATCCTGGGCAGAGAAAGCCATGGGGAGTGGAATGAGCAAGGTACTGGGGTGCAGTGGGATTGTGACCAGCTCATCCTCCTTGGCAGGACCAAGAGCAGCCCACAGGGATGCTCTTCCCAGGCCATCACTATTCCCTAAATGCAACCATTTGCATCTCCCCTTTGAAACTTCACTTAAGGAAGAGAATTAAGAATACAACTAGTGATTTATCTCCTTGATTTCTCCCCGGGGTGAGGAGCTAAATGTCTGCAGGTGTCAGAATAGTGACAGCTGGTGTTACATGCTCATCCCTTGGGTGGTAAAGCATCCTCAGGGCTGACAGGGGGTTCCTGCAGGTAAACTCACCCCCTTGCCACCCCCAGGACATGTCTGCCTAGTAGCAGTGAGGGAAGTGAAATTTCATTGTTGCTTCTTGCTCCAGAGCTAGCAGAGGGGATTAATTTCTGTTTGTAGCCTGAAATAACCTCTTGGAATGCATGTTCTCTGGTTTAAAATTAGACTCTGGGACAGCAACAGAGAGATCAGACCAGGGCAAACTCTGCATGACTGGGGTGGTTTAACTCTGAGGTTTCACCTCCTGTAGACACAGCTTGGCTGGCAAAGTGACTTTTACAGCCCCCCTGGGGCCACCAAACCCTCTTGGGGGCTTTGGGCTGTTGCTGCCATGGGCTGGGATGGGACAGACACATTTGGAGGAGCCAGCTTTGGACTTGATAAGATGCAGAGCTCCATGTCCCCTTTCTTTTGGACATTAGGAAGAATTTCTTTACCAAAAGTGATGAGACACTGACTGGAATGTGCTGTCCAGAGAGGTGGTGGAATCACTTTCCCTGAAGTTGTTCAAGGAGAGACTGGACATGACACTTAGTGCCATGGTCTGGTTAGGTCATAGGTTGGACTTGATATTCTTAGAGGCCTTTTCCAACCTTAATGATTCTAGTGGTAACAGTGCTGTGCTGGACACAGCTGGTCCTGAATCCAGGTGTTTGCACCCCTGGAATGTGCTGGGGTTCAGCTAAATGATAGAGATGAGCTGACTGTGACCTGCTGCTGCTGAAAACCCTTCCTAAAACTCAAACCAGGGGTCTCCTGCCAGGTAGATGCCAGCAAGTCCAGCTGGTAATCAGCTCTGTCTTTCTGTGCCCCTGGTGAATGCTCTGGTGGGTTCTTACGCCCCTTAAATACTCTGAGCTGCCCTTTTTTCTCCTTCATAACCCTGCAGCAGTGAGGTGGAGAGCAAATTTGCAGACTTGACATCTCTTACTGCAACATCCTGGCCAGCAAAGCGTTATAAATAGCCTGTGCCCATCCATTCCCCAGCTGGCAGGCACAGCCTTTGCAGCTCTAGGAGAGGTGGTTGCTATAGAGCAGCCAAATAAGCCCAAGCTGCAGCAGAGCTGGGCTGGCTCCAAGTACTGGGGTCTCTGCTGGAGCCCCACCTTTAAGGATGAGGCTGGAATGGGCAGAATTGGCTAGGGAATCCAGTCCCAGCACTGCCTTTCCCATGGGTATAGGATCACATCCAAGCCCCTTCTATTCATCAGAGTATGTTAAGGGGTTGGAATAGAGGTTAGAGATCATCCAGCCCCAACCCCCTGCCCTGGGCAGGAACACCTCCCACCACACCAGGTTGCTCAAGGCTTTGAACACTGCCAGGGTTGGGGCAGCCACAGCCTCCCTGGGCAACCTGTGCCAGTGTCTCACCACCCTCACAGGAAAGAACTTCCTAATATCTCATCTAAATTTCCCTCTTTCAATTTTTCCCCATTACTCCTTGTGCTCTCACTGCAGCTCCTAACCAGGAGTCCCTCTGCAGCTTCCCTGGAGCCCCTTCAGATCCTGGCAGGTTGCTCTGAGGTCTCCACACAACCTTCTCTTCTTCAGGCTGAACAGCCTCAGCTCTCTCATAGGAGAGATGCTCCAGTCCTCTGCTCAGCTTCAACACCTCCTCTGGACTTGCTCCAACAGTTCCATGTCCTGATGTTGGGGACACCAGAACTGTGTGCAGTACTCCAGGTGGGGCCTCACTGGAGCAGAGGGGGGAATCACCTTCCTTGAACTGCTGGCAAACTCCTGTGGGTGTAGCCCAGGACACAGTTGGCTTTCTGGGTTTTTTAATGTACTGAGTTTTCCTGAGCTCTGCACTCCTGGAGGACTTTGGGCTGGTGGTTTGGGTGTGCTTAGCCTTTCCTTGTTGTGAATGAAGATGGTTCATAGATTTGGTGCTTGGTTTACCATGGGGAATTTGGTGCTAGGTGCTGTGGCCCTGCTGGACCCACACCTGGAGCCTGGTGTTCCCATCACATTGGATGCACCTTCAGCACCATCTGAACTCTCCTTTTTGTCACCTTCCAGGTTGTCACAGGCCTCTACCTCGGGAATATCCGTGGTAAGTGCCTTTCCCTGCTCACCTCTGTGGTGCTGTGAGATCCCTGGGCAACCAGTGCAGTTGGAATATTCCCTCTCCTTGGGGGGATCCCTGTGCCTGCTCCCAGCTGGGGACCTCAGCATCTTTCAGAGATCCCAAAATTTCCCATCCTAATTCCAAGTGTCCACATGCAGCTCTAGCCCAGGAAAGGGATGTCCATGGAGAGCTGCAGTCACCAGCCTTCCTGGAGCACTGGGAACCCCTTGGAATGGCTGGAAATTTCCCTTGTGTTTGCTGAGTCAATATTTACAGTGCACCAACACCTGGATATCTCTCCAAGGACACAACAGCCCTTTCCAAGCTCTTACCAGTATAATTCCTGATTTTGGAAATGGTTTTAGGAACATGCTGAGTACCCAGTGCTTCCAAGGCTTTGAAGGAGTTGCCTAGTCTCCTTCCCTGCACTGTGTGGGATGAGAGGCAGCAGAAGGGTTGGAGTGGGAGTCAAGGGACCAGGGGTGATGGGTGTGGGTTGTTGGTGGGTGTTTGGTCCAGCAGATCCTGACAGGGGGTTGGAGAGAGGTGGCGGATGGTCTTTCCTGCCATGGCTGCAGGGAGAGGACTAGAGGGAATGGAAAAATTGCTTCCCTGTTAGGGTGTTGAGGCACTGGAATATTGCCCAGGGAGATGGTGGAGTCACCATCCCTGGAGGTGTTAAAGAGGCATCTGGATCTGGTGCTGGAGGATATGGTGTAGGGGTTACAGCAGTGACAGGTTAAGGGCTGGACTTGATGATTCCATGATCTCCCAGGAGGGTAAGTGATTCCCATACACCTCCTACTTCCAGACTCTGAGGACCACGAAAACCTGCTGAGGAATGGAGTGACTCACATCCTCTCCGTCCACGACAGAGCCAAGCCCGTGCTGGAGGTGTGTAATGCCCAGCTGAGGGGTCTGGAGGGACCACCCTGGAGCAGCAGGAGCTGTGCAGGTGCAGATAGGACACATATGATCTTCTCCTGGTGTGGGGAGAAGCAATACTTGATTTACACTGATTTACACCATCCAGTGATGACTTGCACCCAAAGGGGCTCAGCGCTGACTTTGGGGAGGGGCTGAGCAGGGTGTTTTGGGGGGCACAGCATCACTCGGTGGTTTTGGGGTGCAGGGGAGGGCCCCGCGGGGCCAGGAGCGGCAGTGCCCGGTGCTGCCGGGAGGTTCCCACGAGAGGGCGGCGGCATCCCGCGGATGGAGCCCGCGGGCAGGGCACACGGCAGGGCTCGAGCATCCCCTCCGCGGCTCCGGGACAAGGCATGCGCTGCTCCGTGTCCCTCTCCTGCCTCGCTGATCCCGGAGCACTGCGTAGCTTCGGGATGTCAGTGAGCAAACTGAGGCATGAAGGAGATGTGTAGTGGGTTGAGGACAGAGGTGTTGGATAGGTTTCTCGTATACCAGTCCTGCCTGGATGGTTCCATGCACTGGGAGCAGCCCTGTGGGGTTTGGGTCATGGCATGAGCAAGGGGCATGGCCATGGGGTGCTGGGTACACGATGAGGGGCAGAGCTGGATAATGAGGTGGATACAGCCATAGGTGAGGGGGAAAATCCTATAGATCATCATAACACAGAATCATGGAATGGTTTAGGCGGGAAGGAAGATTAAAGCTCATCTCATTCCACCCCTACCATGAGCAGGGACACCTTCTACTAGCCCAGGTTGCTCCAAGCCTCATCCAACCTGGCCTGGAACACTTCCAGGGATGAGGCAGCCCCAGCTGCTCTGGACAATGTATTTCAGTGCTTCAGCACCCTCAAAGGGAGGAATTCCTTCCCAGTATCCCATCTATCCCTGCCCTCAGGCAGTGGAAAGCCATTCCCCCTTGTCCTGTCCCTCTAGACCCTTGTCCCAAGTCCCTCTCCAAATAATAAAGGAGAATGTTGATCTATATTAAAGGTAACACCCAAAGTTACTTAAGTGATGTCTCAGTCAATTCTATTTCCAGCTGTCACACTGTTCACCTCTGTGCCAAATCGCTGGAAGTCCCTCCTCAAACTTCTTGGAGCCCCTTTAGGCACTGGAAAAGCTCTAAGGTCTGTCTGGAGCCTTCTCTTCTCCAGGCTGAACACTCCCAGACTGGCTTCATAGCAGAGCTGCTCCAGCCCCTGGAGCAGCTCTGTAGGCTCCTCTGGACTCACTCCAAGAGCTCCACATCTCTCTTGTCATGGGGGGTGATTCATCCCAGTGTTGGACCCACTGCCACTTCCTAAATCCTGGGATACTGTAGAAAGCAAAGGGAACTTCCAGTACTCTAATCCTTTTGGGACCACCAGGAAAACACCACCTGGAGCCTTTCCCCCACTAAGACATTGAGTAACGTGGAGGAGGAGAGCAAGAAGGAAGGAGGCTGTGCATGATCTGGGTGCAGACAAACGGCTCGGGGCAGAGGCAGCAGCTGGAGCTGGCGAGCTCAGGGCACGGTCAGACGGGTAGTAAACCACACGGAGAACTTACAACATGGAGCAAAGCCACTGGGCTGGCAGAAAGGGGAACAGGAAAGGCATGGTGGGTTGAGCAATGTGTCAATCACGGCCCTGGGTTGGGAACCACAAACCCCAACGCCGTTCCCAAGCATGGCCCAGCTCCCCTGGGTGGGATGGGGACACACACCCTGTGGGGAAGGGGAAGCCACTGGGAGCTTGGCAGTTAATCCAGGATTGGTGGGCCTGTTCAGCCTGGAGAGGAGAGGCTGTTTTCTGCAGAGCTCCGGAAAACTCTGCACATAAAACAATACAGAATGCCAACCTGTCCTGGGCTGCATCCCAAGGAGTGTGGCAGCAGGTGAGGGAGGTGATTCTCCCCCTCTGCTCTGGTCTGGTGAGACATCACTTGGAGTACTGCACACAGTTGTGGTGTCCCCAGCATCAGAAGAACATGCAACTGTTAGAGCAAGTCCAGAGGAGGCCACAAAGCTAAGAAGAGAACTGGAGCATCTCCCCTATGAC